AATACTATGTAACATGTGCGAAAAATACACTACTATAGTGCAAAGTCATGTGCATATTTTTTTAACTTTTAATTATCTTTATTCATCAAGAGTAATACCAATGGCACTAATTAATTATTCCTTATAAAACTTGATTATTTAGATTTAGTTATTATTCATTTCATTCCTTCTTTTAAGATAATACCAATGCCACTAACTCGTTCATGCTTAGTAACCTTTTATTTGCAAACAATCGCTATTATATGCTTATTCTTGCATATTTTAAAAAGCACAATTTTTGTTTATATTCTGTGCAATTTTTTCAAACCTTTATTTTACTTTTTTTTTCATTTTCCTTCTTCTTAAAGCGTAATGGAAATATCACCAATTCATTATTTGTTCAAAAACCTCATTATTTGATTTTAATTTAATTAAATTTTCTTTCTTCTTAAAGGGCAATACCGATGCCACTAATTCATTTTTCCATATAAAACTTCATGGTTTTGATATTGTTTATTTTTTATTTTCTTTATTATTAAAGGGTAATAGCAATGCCACTAATTCATTCTTCACTAAAACATGAATATGCGCCTATCAAGTAATAGGCCCCATAACATGAATATATACTAACTATTTTTTATGCAGTGTGTGTGTGTGTGTGTGTGTGTGATTCATACCGTTGTCTAAAAAATCCACTACTATATGCTTATTTTTGCATATTATGAAACAATGCAATTTTATGCCAATCGTGTGCACTTTTGCGTCGTTGTTTGTTTTATGCGTTTTTACATTTTCTTTCTTCTTTTAGGTAATACCAATTCCCTTGATTCATATTTTCTTAGAACATATTCTGTTTTTTGTATTAGCTTTGGTTTTAGTTTTTGTTTAGTGAGTGTTGCATATATGTAGTCCCATCCATTTATCCAACAAAGTTTAGCTCTGAATGGCATGTATGTGTAACCCATCCATGTATGACATGCTCAGGAAATAGCATGCACATGATGCCAAAATGGTGGTTCCTTTCACCCTCCTAAATCTATGAATGGTGCACGGTGAGGAGAAGCAACAAGCATGCATGTATTATCTGACCACGCAATGCACTCCATATTTTATATTTGTATTTATTCTCTTTTTTAGTTTATGTTCTTCTTTAAATTTATATTGCACCGGTGTGGCACTAGTTAATGTTGTATTAGCAACTAGAATATACTTCATTTTATAGTGACGACCTACTAAAAACATTTTTTAAGAAACATAATAGTATGCAAAATTACCGGAGGCTTAAACTATGCATTTTGGCATATGTATGTGACATGCATGCACTCAAATAGCCCTATCAATTCATGAAGCAATGCAACTAAAAGAAGCATTCAGGAAAGCTCATGTGAGTGCACATGATTATCGATTGCACGCGATGCAAAAATTTAACAAGAAACTCACCGGCATGCATGCATGTTCACCCGGACAAGACGCAATACCAAAAAAAAAAGTGAATGACCTAAAATGAGAATTCAGTCACATGTTCAGTAGCCGGTCCCATGATGTTGCAACGTAGCCTATCGTACCATTTTGGTGAAAAAAATGCTCCTGTAATGAGGTAATACGAGACAAATAGATGATGCAGATTTTTGTCGGGTTGTGATAGGAGAAGAACCGGCATGAGAACCTAACATTGAGGAACGTCCGTTTCATTGAACTAGAAAATTTTATTTTCATAATATACAAGCTTCAAAGTTTATACTATTACATAGACAAATGCATCGTTTCTACGACGATCCATGCATGCGTTTAATGTTCATTATTTAAAATCCATTTTTTCAAAAAGATTCGAAATCCATATATACACCATACTGTAGCTAGCCAACACTCGGTGCTGCATGGACTGATGTAGTACAAGTGTTTATCTTCATATACAAGCTTACAACTTTGTGGTGTATTACATGGGCAAATGAATCATTTGTACGAGGATCCATGCTTTATTCAAAACAAATCCGTATATACGTCGTGTACTGCAGTCTGCAGCTGCATGGTATTCAGGTATTGTACGTAAAGCTTAGCTGATAAACCATACTTGATGATGCACGGACTGACTGATGAAGTAGTACTGGTGTTTAAGAGTTGTCCATGGTCGGGTAGTAGGCGTAGGTGGCCATGCCGCAGTTGCCGCCGTTCCCGCGGGTGAGGCGCATGTAGCCCCCCTCGCCCCACGTCGTCCCCCACTGGTTCTTCACCAACCAATACTCCTGCCCGCCGCCGTCCGTCCCGTAGCCCACCACCGTCACGAAGTGGTTCAGGTTCTGCCCGCACGACGAGCTGCCGGTGTACACGCCGCTCATGTAGTGGTGGAAGTCAAGGTCGGCCTCCACGCTCACGGCCACCGGTTGGCTGGCCACGAGCTCCTGCAACGCGCCCTCGTCGCCGTTCAGGCTCACCAACTGGGGTGCGCCGACGGCGGCGGCTGAATTTGGGCTGACGTCGCCGCCGCGGCACGCGCCCTGCTGGCCGATATACGCGTAGGCTGCCTCCTGCTGCAGGCCGCCGCTCTTGGCGATGTAGCTTAAGGCGTCGTTGATGTAGCCGCTCTGGCAGGTGCTGGGGCCGCCGGTGCAGTCGAGCACCTGCTGCTCTGACATGGAGATGAGGTTGCCGGTGGCGATCTTTACGAGCCCCTCCGTCGCCGCCACCGCCGCGAACGCCCAGCAGCAACCTGTACGTTTAAAGATTTATATTCATTTGCGATCTTTGGCCTATGCTACGCCCTTAAACCAAGTATGCATGCATTTCAGGAGCTGCAGATTCTTACCGCAGTTGGCGCCTTGGTCCTTGATTTGGGTGACGGCGCCCTGGGCCCTCCAATCCACGCTGTCCGGCGTGGACTGGAACTGAGCCATGGACATGTTCACAGCGGCCACCGGCGTGCTTTCCTCGCCGCGCCGGTGACGGTACCCGAGCTGCTTCTCCACGAACTCTTCGTTGGTGAGGTCGGAGAACTGGTTGAGCCCGAGAGTGTACGTCCGATTGCCTGCCCTGTTGACAGCATCTATGTGCCGCGCGTTGGCCGCGAACACCTCCTGCCGGCGCAATTTCTCGGCAGCGTCCGTGTACACGCGCCCGTACTTGGCCATCCACCGCTCATGCCGGGCGGCCAGCGCGTCCCCTCGCGCCGCGGCAGCGCTGACAAAGGCGGTGGCGGCCACGAGCACGAGCAGAAGTGCAAGCAGTGTGCCGTCGAGGCGGCGTGAGCTGTGAATCGGCGCCATTTAGCTAGCTAGTTTGCTTGCTTGCTTCTTGCGATGCTTCACGAGCTAGGGAGGGAGGTACTAAGAACGTAGGAACCATGCTGCCCGCTCCTCTATTTATCGCGCGCGCATGGCGAGCAAGACGGGGCATACGAGCGGATTCCATACTTTTCGTCGATGGGTCCGCGGGCGTTCATACGCCGTAGTCGTATGTACGTATTGACTGGGAGTCCATGGATGTTTGTATCGACGACGGTGCTTGTTCTCGTCTCTCTGTATATTCTTCTTCTTTCTTCTTCTACTTCTTCAAAAAAAATCTTGTTTCCCCGATGGCGAGGCAAAGTGCTCTGTCCACATGTATAAACCGTCGCACACGCTTAGAGCTGGAGTAGTACGTTGCTGCCTGATTGAAAATGGCCGGATCGGCGTGCACTCTCCCATATATAGTTTGGCCGATGTATGTGGTCTGGATTACAAGTTTGGCTTATATTTTCATAGGAGAACGACAAAACACATGACTTCTCATTCTATCAAAAAATTATGGTAGATACATCAAATGTACTAGTACAAAGCAAGAAAATGTGCACGGCTAACTTTTTTTTTTATCTTCCAAAAATGATCAGATCTATTATAAAAGTTCACCGGAAGTACAAAAAATCTCAAACATAATAAAAATCCACTACTGATTTGGTACACTCCCGCCAAACACAAGGACGACTCAAATTAGCCCATACCTCTTCATAAGAAACGACATGATGGTCATATTTTATAAACTCTTCACTCGCTGTACATGGAGTAGTGTTTATCTTCCTCTTTTTAACCTTCAAACAATAGGTGCATGAAGTAGAATTCAAACTCCAAACCTCTTGAATCCGTTCCACCCGCTACAAACAACTGAGACAGCTCACTTGTTGTGCCTAATTACTTCTTTTTCTTCTTCTTGTCGTGCATCCTCTTAGTCTGGTTTCATTTTACTTCTTTTTGTTTTGTTTGGTCTTTCTTTTGGTTTTATTCACTTTTTATTTCTTCTTAGTTTAATCTTTTTTTTTTCATTTGCTTAAATTTGTGAATATTTGCTAAGATTCATGAACTTTTTTCAAACCGTAAACTTATTTTTTAAACTGTGATTTTTTAAAATGAATAAATATTTTTCATTTTGTGAAATTTTCTTAAATTCATGAACTTTTTAAAATCGATGATCTTTTTCCAGTTTCACAAACTTTTTTCAAATTCATGAATTTTTTTGTCAATTTCGCTAACTTCTTTGTCAAATTCGTGAAAAAATCAAATGGATGAACTTTTTCAATTTCATGAATTTATTTGTCACACTCGTGTACTTTTTTCAAATTGATGAATTAATTTTTAAACTTGTAAAGTTTTCTTTAACCTCAGGGTGGGTGTCAAGGTGGTAACATGGTCGGGTTTGGTCGGGTCGACCTCAATCAAACCCATGCCCGAATAGACAATCGGGTGCATCGTCTGCCCATAGCCGTACCCATGGGTCTTAATGACCCATGCCCAAACTCACCTGGGCACCGGACCCGAGTAGGCACCTATCGGGTCAGTGCAACAAGGATTATTTTTTCGTTATTTTGTCCCAAAAGAAGACACACAGAGGTGCGCATATACGACCGGAGGTGCGTAAATTTCAGCTGGGCCTATACGACCGGAGGTGCGCATCACGAGCGAACTTGGCGGTACTGATAACGAGATCACGCGGAGTATGTGATCACGAGCACACAGGGTCTCGGAATCTCTCCCGTACGCTATGCCCGTCGTGATTCGTTTTCCTGAACGCACGTGACTGTTGCATGCCCCACTGGCCAACGTGGAAAAAGAATTTTAAAGGTAATATCTTCCTGGACGGTGGGCCAGGACGGCGAGATTTGTGGACGCCGTCGCGAGTTCGCCTCAGAGCCGTGGCTCGAGACGTCAGTGAATTCCTGATCCGTGGATCAGTTTCCAGTAACGACGTCATTGCTGTGGAGTAAATGGAGATATGGGTAGGTGGGGCGAGCTGCCTCCTACCTCCTGCGGATGCCGGTCTGGGTGAACTGAGAGTGGCTCGGCGGCGCAACCACCATCTCCTTAGGTTACGGTGTCTCTGCTCCAGCGCTCATGGAGTTCTTGATGCAGCCGTGCAACAGGTGCGAATCTGCTCGTTTGTGTGCTTGGTCGGACGCGATTTGGATTTGAGTTTGGAGCTTCTGCAAGATCTAACTTTTTCTTACCTTCGATGTGTTTCTGCAGTAGAACCCTCATAGAGGAAGTGGATGACAGCGACGTACCCAACTACCCCTGGAGCCTTTGCATTATCCTGTTTTGTCAGCGGCGGCTGGCGAGCTGCCGGCGACGAGTGCTTCCAGTGTGGAGGCGCGGATCTCTGCGGCGGCGGCTGTAGCACCAGGAGGGAGTGCAGATAGGTCGCAACTCGCAAGTATCTGAACACTCAATAGAGCAAATTGATCCACAGACGCCCGGCTGGACACGGAGGTATGCTTCCCTGGCACACCCCGTTGGTACAAAATTCTGGCTAAGTTGTTCGAGTACTACTAAGATTTGGGAGTCCATTCAGCAGGCGGATACCGGTGGTTCTGGTACAAAATAGTTTAATGTCCGTGGAATCCATGCAGAATGCATTACAGGGAAATTGATTATAGATTAATGGGAATGGGGATGGGAGATGTATTTGACATTACAAGTAGGCATGGTAGAAAATCAGTCGCTGAAAACACATAATGGATAAAAGGTGACATATTGTGTTCTGGGACATCATTTGAAAAATGCATGCAAATTCATTGCAGGCATGTTGTAATCTGGAATGCTCTGTTTTTTATTTTGAGTAACTAATTGTGCATGCACATTTTTTTGATAAAAAATCAGGGTCAGGGTTGGTACTGCAGCACCAGGCCGTGCCCCCTGCCCGGGTAGGATGGCAACATTGGAGAAATCAGTGTGCGTGTTTGCCGAGTCCCCCAGTGACAATGTGATTATGCCAAAGTTAGGCATCAACTTCGATACGCTTGGAGAAGCCTACGATTTTTACAATCTGTATTCATGGGAGAAAGGATTCGGCATTAGATCCAGTGCTTTCCCGTAGCGGCGATAGTGCACACAGTAAATGCGGAAGTTGGGCGCTGAGAGCAGCTGTCTCCTACCTCGCGAAGTTAGATCTATCATTCTTGAAGATGGCGAAGCCGTAGAGGAACCTCCTGCGGGGGACTGGGTGCTTCGGCGAGCATGGAGTTCTTGATGCAGCCAATAAATAGGTACGGATCTGCTCGCTCTTGCTCCATTCGCCACCGTTTTTATTTAGGTTTTCAGGATGATTTGATTTCTCTGCCGGCTATTTGTGTAAGCAGCAGAATACTGCTAGAGGAGCTAAACAACATCGCCATGGAGCCTGTTCACTACCCTGTGAGGACACCCCCGGTGGTTGAGCTGCTGGCCACGACGACCTCAAGTGCAGACGGCCAAATCTGTGCTGACTGCTGAGGGTGCTGCTCCAGAGGCAGGCAGTGCAGACAAGGCTCAAGGTTCAGAGCACTCCATGGAGCAGGTGGATCCGAAAACTCCAGGGTGGAAGCAAAGGTATGCAGATTATGATTGGAAGAAACTTCATTTGCATTTAAGCACTGAGGTGTCCCTACGATTTAAGCTGCAGTATAAAACAGTACTTATTAGATTCATTTACGCTGGATTGTTATCGGTTCACAAGCAGATGGTGTACGTCCAGAATAGAGATTGTGTAAACAGAATTAAGTCTGCACGGATTCTTTGTTATTGTTCCACAAGCAGATGTATGTCCAGAATTGAGCTTGTGTAGAAAGAATTAAGTATGTACAATATTATTTATGCCATGACTAGTGAGAATGATAGACTTGACTGAATTCTATTGCAAACATGATGCGTAATAGAGATTTACTGGAGGGTAGTTATGTCATATGGAGATATACCTAGAGCTGGGTGTGAGCTACATTAATTTAATTGATTTAACTGTGAAAGGTTACTGAATATGTTTACATATTTGCTTGGGCTTCCAGAGTGCGGGTTGGTGCTGCCACGCTAGGCAGAGCTCCATGCCCTGATAGGATTACAGCACTGGGGAAATCAATCCGGCAATTTGCAGAAGAACCAGGTGATTGTGCCGAAGATAGGAACACGTTTTGACACACTTGGTGAGGCCTATGATTTTTACAATTTATATTCGTGGGAGAAAGGATTCGGCATTAGATACGAAAAGAGCAGGGTAAACGTAAACTGGACAAATGCATGAAAGAGATAGTCTATGGTTGCGCGGTATGCCATTGTGTTTGCAATGTTCTATAATTTTCTAGTTCACCATGTGGAAGTTGTGATGAAGTTAACTGAATTTGACTTATCAAAATTTTAACAGGGGAAGCAAATAGTTGAAAATACTCGGTCTTGCCGCTGTTAATGCCCTACTCTCATAAGATTGTTGCGGTTAAAGGACAACGGGAGCATCGATATGAGCACATACATTCATTGTCTCCCACGTACGGACAGACAATACACTGGCCATCACACAAGCATATCGACGTGTACATCAGAGGTCTCGTGAAGCAGCTGTGGCAAAACAATGACAACTTAGCGAGAATGGGGATGTTGTGAACCAGGTTCACCCAGAAGGCGCTGAGATGGGACAGGGAGGCAGAATGCCTACTGTTATGAGGAAATGAGGACCGATGATAACACTTCAGCCAATCAGTCGGGTGATATGCTGACAGGCTTATTGCCTCCAGCTAAGAGGAAGGATGTGGGAAAGCCTACGACAAGCAGAGAGAAAGCACTGTATGATGGACTGAGTAAGATGACAAGATTATGCATGATTTTCAGTGACAAGCACACAAACGGATACCCTGCCCTGATCGTGGGGATGTACAAAAACAGCCTTGGAAGCCAGGAAGATGCAAGAATTGTGGCGTTGAAGGCCATCGTCGATACAACTACCACAAAGTGGCTGAGCTCAGGCTGAAGAGCTGATCTGATCTTGTTTTGTT